CCGAAAAAAATTTTTTACGGGTAATTAACAAACGACCAGAGGCATAACACTATTTTTATACACTCTTCTAAAGAATTCAGTGTTAAAAAATATAATAGCCCTAATACTAATGTTTAATGACAAGTAAATTGATTACAAATATTGTTGGATTTGATTCACAAAACAAAGATTGTAAGTAATTGTCAGTGAGGTCACGTGACCATTGTCACGCCACCTATTTTCTAGAAGTATCTTGTTCCTTCCTGAATGCCCTAGCATTTACTAGATATATGTTTGTCTGGTATATAAATAAGACGCTCACAACGTGACGGGACAATGTATGTAGACAGTGAGTAATTGATCTGCAGTCAGAGAGTATTATTGAAGTTGAGCACGGTTCGTTGTTATAGGGTTTATTTCAGTGCGATTGTTGAAATTAAGCGTATCGTAAAGTTATATTCGGAAAGAATAAACCAGTTTTATTAAGTAAGAACTTGTGTCGCTAAAGTTTCGTCGGAACAAATTTACGGGAAATCAATTAACAAACGGAGACGTAACAGTAATAATTCGATTTAATGATTTGAGAGTAAATTAGAAAAAAAACCTTTACTCTGCAGATAATAATAAAAAAAACGTTTTATTTTGCAAATGTTTTGCCACTGCGGCTTCATCAGGGCTAATTTTACAATAACTTCTAGCCTTGATGAGGCCCCAGTGGAAAAACGTTAATCGAAATAAGTTTTTCGTTATTATTCGGAGTGTAAAGATCGTTAAATCTCTGCAGTGTGCACTACAAATTCTGAGAAACAAACAATTTAACGATGTTTTGCAATCAACCGCCAGTAATACACAAAGACGCTGTTCTGCAGCTATATTGACGTAGTTTATTTTGACGAGTAAACAAATCAGCACGTGACTTTTGATAAGGTATGGTGAAGGTGCTTAAAATGTTAAATACTCATCTGTATGCTTTCAAATCATTTTATGTTAAATTATTCGAAAAATTTTGTAAATTTAAGTTAAGTTTATGGAATCATTATGATAATACAGCATTGAAGCCAATAATTACCAGTTACACTATATTATCACCCAGTAATTATTGGCTTATTAGTCTTACATCAGTTGTGGAAAAAGTTTTGAAAAGTCTGATAAAAAGATGCTTTGCAAAGTCATTTAACAAAGTTTAGAATTTTATGGGATAGTCAATATGGTTTTACTAAGAGGACATCTTGCCTTACAAACCTTTTGGCATTTTTTGAAAATGTTACTCCTTAAGTAGATGAGGGTAAGGTTGTAGATTTGGTGTATCTGGATTTTCAGAAAGCATTGGACAAGAAGTCACACAACATGCTTATAAAAAAAACTTTTTTCTATAGGTGTGGGAGATAAGTTCGCAAATTGGGTAGAAGAGTGGCTGGATGGAAGAAAGAAGAGGATTGTTATAAATGGAGTTCAGTCAAATCGGATTATTGTGACAAGTGGGGTACCTTAGGGCTAAGTCTTAGGACTTTGCTGTTTTTGATTTACATCATTGACATAGATGAAGGGATGTTGAATAAATTACATAAATTTGCATATGATATTAAGGTGTTTGTTGTTGCTGACTGCGAAGAGGATTCTGCTGCTTTACACAAAAATTTAGATCATTTAGTGAGTTTAGTGAATGGCAGATTGGTTTTAATTAAAGTAAATGCAAGATAATGCATGTGGGTTATCATAATTTAAATTATAAGTATAATTTAAATGGGAATAACATTAACAGTGTTATGAAAGAAAAGGATTTTGGTGTAACGGTTGATCAGTCTCTTAAACCATCCAAGCAGTGTGCTGTTGCTAGTGGTAGGGCAAATAGGATTTTATGTTGTATTTACAGTAATTTTGAATACAAGTCTAAAGAGGTTATGATTTCATTGTAGAGGTCACTGGTTAGGCCACATTTAGAGTATTGTGTTTAGTCTTGGACTTCTTACCTTATTGTAAATGCAACATAAACGATGCTGAGTATTTCGACGAGTAAACAAAGCAGATTCTCTTCATTCATTCCACCCCTACCTACAGCCATTACATAAGTCATCAGGCTGTTAAATATAGAGATCCACACACAGATATAACTTAACAAGTCTCTACTTTTAAAGGCAAGGCTTATTAATGCATTTATGTCTTTTAAGAGGAAAAATAAATGGGATAACTACAGCCTTGTGGGCGATAATAGAAGTTTTTTAGGCCTAGATTATAGTTAACAACCCGCTATATACTGTTGCGTCAGCGAAGTCACATGACTAGTGTCACGCCACGTTTCTAGAACTATCCTGTACCTTGGCGAATGCTCTAGCATTTACTAGATATAGGGTAGTCTGGTATATAAAAGAGGGTGACAACGTGACGGGACAATAATGTGTGTGTAGGTAGTGAGTAATTGAACTGCAGTCAGAAGTATTGTTGAAGTTAACGTTCGTTGTTAAAACGTTTGTTACAGAGCGACTGTTGAAAATAAGTGTATCGGTAAAGTTATATTCAGAAAGAATAAACCAGTTTTATTAAGTAAGGACTTGTGTCGCTAAAATTTCGTCGGAACGAAGTTACGGAAAGTTAATTAACAAACGGAGACGTAACAATACTTTAAATTTGGCTATATATGAACAAACCTATTCCATTTAACTTCGAGCTGCCCCTTCTCATTCTGATGTTTATGTTTCAGAATATATTTACAGCACATAGGACTTAAAACAGCGTAAAATACAAACATAGGAAAAAGTTACTACTTATGTATCTCTGTGTATTGTTTACTGTGATTTCATATATTGTTCGATTTAATTAACAATGAATATTACAAGCGATGTTTTGTTTATCCTTACTATAAATTTCTTACCGTAATTACCTTTAACTTTGAGATTTAAAAATAAGGTACAAAAAATCATAATTATCATGTATTGTTAATATCAGACATATACAATCCCCTTTAAATTCCTTAGTATTCAACCACTACCTTCAACAAAACTGTCACCTAGCACATAGTACTTTATTTTGAAAAAACAACAACAACAAAAAATAACGATATTTATCGAATTCAACTCGTGGAAATAAACCTTCTTTCATAGATAAACAACAGTGATATTAGGCAGAAAAAGCAACATATCTGTAACTGAATGAAAATATCTATAAAAAACACGTTATATATGTCCTTTTTTTTCTAATCTATATAAATATTAGAAGGTCTTTTTTTTACATTTCACAATTTCAGTGTATAACGTATTCGTCTAAACAATCTCAGTATTTTTGCAAAGTTTAGGATCGAAGAACTTCCTATTTTGTGATTCAGTACATCAGTCTCAAAACGTTAAACTTAAAACTACTCAAAATAAAAACCAGGACTTCCTAGCTCGTGGTATGAAGGAACAAAGAGAACGTTTACTTACTAATGTATCTAGCTAACGTCTCCAAGGTTATCAAGAAGAAAAACAAATACAAGAATAAGTAGGCCGGAAATCACAAAATACTGGTCCAGTCAGAATGTCTATTGACCAGCGTTCCAAACTAGGAATTACCTCACCACAAAGGAGTGTTAAGACTTGCGTAGGTCTGCGCAGAAAGTGCTATTTCTACACAGATTAGTATTTATCGGCTGGATAAGAGCTGTTCTTAATTACTAACGAAGAAAGAAAAAAACTGTTATCTGAAATACTTACGTATGTTTAACTAAAATAGATAGTGATTATTTCTCTAAACAGGTCAATAATAAAGCTAAACAGGTCAATAATAAAGTTATAGACTTTATGAATTTTGTAAAAGAAAGCTATCAGTATGTAATGAAGTTTTAAATGATTAATGGTGATTCTCAGAACGATCGAATTTTCCACAGTGAAATTTTTCTTCGTTTTTTTAAAAGTATTTTAGAACATAGAAAAATGTAAACATTTTTTAATTTAAATTTATCAAGCATTCATATTTTAACATATAAAAACTTGAAAAAAGTGAAAAATCTTCTTTCGTAAACATTCTTTAACAAATGCAATAAGCATTCGTCGTACAATTTCTGAAAATCGTTTTTTCTTTTTTTTATAGTTTACGCTTGTGGTTAAAATCTCTCAAATGAAGAAGATTGTTTGTTTATATTTAAGCACAAAGCTACAGAATGGGCTATCTGTGCTCCGCCCACCACGGGTATCGAAACCCAGTTTCTAGCGTTGTAAGTCCGCAGACATACCGCTGTGCCACTATGGGGCAAACGAAAAGGAAATTGTGTTCCTGTGTTTAGAATTCATTGGTGATATGACTATGACTACGTTTTCACCAACTTTTTTTGTCAACGCAGCTGCTCCTATCAGCACTAATGTAACACGCATGTGTATATATATATTTATATGCGTAAAAGCTCTTCAAGACTGGATCTCCGGACTTCGAAGTTAGAGGTGGGTGAAAACTTGGCAACGGCCGAAAAAAAAAAGGAATATAGTTGTAGTAAGAGATAAAAAAAAAGAGTTTAAGATTAGTCCAAAAATCAGCCGGTACTGGTTCCCACTCTCCTTGATAAATCTGAAGGTTAGACGCGTGTGAAGTAAAAACTGTTTTAGTCCTGTTTTGCACACCCTATGTCAGAAACATATATACGTATACACATATGTACAGGTGTAGGTAGCATGAGGCTTGTATGGGCTTGAGCTTTCCACTTATAGTGCAGATCATTTTTTTAAAGAAAGACTTAACTTACCTGCTAAAAAACTCTGGAAATTAAAGACATCTGTAGCCAATAGGTGGCGACTTGAGCACAGCATGAATAATACGTTTACTCGTAAGCTGTGCCGGCTGAACGCTCCAAGTGTCATAATTATATTTGGTGCCAAAGAATGGGCAACTTGGTTGGGTTGAAAGGGATGTAAGTGAACGTATTCACTATCTGGCGGTTCTTTCCACTATCTCGGCAACTCAAACAGAATTGTCAGAGGAATACAGAAAGATCTAAGGCACATGCAGTTGTTCACTCTACAACACTGGACTACTACTTGCTATCTGTCGAGACTTACCTTTGCAAACGGTTCCGAACGCTTTTATAGATGCCACTGTTTTTCCCGCCAGCACGTGGGGATTTCAAATTTTTATGGAGGATCTTTCAGTGTGTGTTTGTGACGTGTTTGACGTTGTAATATACGTCATGACAAGAGTGATGTCATTTTGGTCGGATACCAGGAAAAGCGCGAGCAAGTTGATTGTATTGTGAACAAGTCAATCTCGTTAATTACTTCTCCTTTATTAACGTATACTTTAACTTCTATTCCAAGGTCACACTAGACTAGGTAACATCGAACATTGGACTGTTTGTGATCGGACAGTACTATAAAACAAATATTAGAATGATTTTAACCAATTTTGCTGTTGTCGTGATGAACCATGGATATTATTGATATGGTCTATATAATAGTTAGTGATAGACCACGTGCATTCGCGTGTATTTCATACCAGCTCAATGGCATCATCTTACCTCATGGTGGGAGGAAGAATTCACCCCAAAATTGACCAAATCTACCGAATAGAGAACCCCAAATGATAAACGACTGAGAGACTTTAGAAAGAAAAACACGTGTTGATCCAATGTATACAAATTATGTACAGAATAAAATCTAATTCATTATTTGAAATAATCCATTACTTTCGGGATACGTGCGTTAGATACAAACAAAACACGTAATAATAACTCAACATACATGTGTGTGTATATATTATGTAAATGAGAAAAAAAAAATTTCAACCGGCTAGAAATAATCTATGTTATTAAGATATGTGAGCTATGTATAAAGCATTATACAAAATTCTGCTAATATAGCAATCATTCACTCAGTTGTGACGTGTTTCCGAATTCGGAGTCATGAGCTGCAAACAGGTCAAATCGCCAATAATTTGTTTTACTCAGCTCAAACCTGAAATATTTGTTTGTTGTAGAATCCTTTTCTGCATTTAGTTTTGCGTCCAATTGAATATCTTTACCTATGAAAAGGATTACTAGTGTTTGTTGATAAGCACAAAGCTACACAATGGGCTAACTGTGCTGTATCCATCATGAGTATCGAAACCCGGTTTTTAGCATTATAAACCTTCAGACTTTCCGTTGAGCCACTCGGGAGCAATTTGTATTAGTGAAATATGAGATAATTATATTACAGAAGTGAGAAATTTGAGTGTGAATGTTTTCCACTTACATGTTTATCATTTTAAACTATATACGTTCTTTTTCAAAACTGCAATTGGTAGTTATATAATAACCAAAGACCATGATAATTTAGGCACAATGTTGAAAAACACACCCAATCATTCAAGTGAAACCCTGTATAGTGTGCTAACCATTAAACAATTCTTAACTTCTGGACACCACTTTAGTTAACGAAACATATTATCAGATGTAAACATCGAGTTCTCTACAATAATTTCACATTTTAATTAAGTGAGTGATTTAAGAAAATAATACAAGTTCATTTTTATCTATGAATTTCTTATAGGAAATTATATCTAAAACTTGTACTGTAATAAGACAACTAAATTACATGTTTCAAGTGAAGCTTTCTCGTAATTGATATAAAAAGTTAATTGCCTTTATGAGTTGCTGCATTTTTTCTACATTAAGTCACCTGATTATATATTAATATAAATCCAAAATTATAGCTTTAAACTTTTTATAGCTATACTTTCGCAAGAATATCATAAGATATTTTAGCATGTTTCTGGTATCATAAATTTTAGTTATCAAATTATAAATCTAGTCAAGGAAAAAATTTTGACTAGAAATGAACGGAAAAAGCGATCCGAGCTAGCATAGGAAACTTTATTTGACGTCACTCTTATGAAGCCTGTTTTTGCGGCAATAGGACGTGAATTATGAATCTTCGATTTCACAGTCAGGGCAGGAAACCATGTGTTGCCAGAATCTTTGTATAACCTCTACTGAAAACAAACATTAAATATAAGAATTAATTGATTTAATATTCTGAAACACCAAATTTCAGTCCAGTGGGAAATAAAACTGTTATTAATTCTCACTACAACATAAGCAGAGGTTTTAACACCGAACCACACTCATTTCTAGTAGATGTAAAACATATGGAAAATAATGATAATATTTTCCCGACTTTTTATAAAGATGTGTAAATTTCAAAGTAATGTACATGTGTTCCTTCAAATAAAATGTTTTAGCTCAAAAAAGCTCTGTGTGTGTGTGTTTCTGTTGAGCATAACTTTAAGAATGTAGTTCTATGTTCCATACATTCTGCTTGATTTTTAACAATGTTGTATTAGTTGTATCGAATGTTTTAGTTTTGCTTATAGATTCTTTTCTTGTTGGTTTTATTAATCAAAATCGTTAAGGAGAACTTTATAAAAGCTGAACATACTGCTCCAAAAGCTAAGATAACACAAGACGATTGATATGAGACAACATTTACCTGAGTTAAATCAACCTGTTTTCCCGGTGGGTCAGCGTCAGTATTAATTTTCCGGACTGACAATGGTAAAATCCAGGGTTCGATTCTACACGATGGACAGAGTGAGCTAAACCATTGTATAGTTTTGCGGTATAACAATAACAACAACTACTCAACATGGTGATCAAACAAAGACATGCCTCTAAAAATTGAAAGTCATTAACTTTGCTAAAGCAATATTCTTTTAGAAAATGATAAACAGTGTGTTTGTTTTTGTTTCGATGTTTAGTATAAATTTCATTGGGGTTGTGCAGTTTTAGAAAACAATAAAATAATCTTTAGGTCTAAAAAATTCTTAATATTGTTCAGGTTTTTAATATTTCGAGTTTCTATGGAAAACAGACAACAATAATGGATTAATCGAAAACATTTATAAATACTTGATCACAAAAAATCTTCGTAAGGTTAAAAATATACTAACCTATATTAAATGTTGGTTTTGTATCACTAACTGTTCAATTCTCAAACTGGGATTTAGCTAGTTATAAGCCTTGCCCATGAAGAAAATGTTTGTTTTTGAATTTTGCTACTCGAGGGCTATCTGGAAGAAGGCAACTAACCAACACCACCCGATGCCAACTCTTGGGCTACTCTTTTAGCAACAAATAGTGGAATTGACCTGCACGGCTAAAAAGAAGAGCATATTCGGTGAGGGGATCAAAACTCGTGACTCGCCTGTTGCGAGTCGATCAGGCAGTGCCAAGTCCATGTATAAAATGCTGAAAGATAAATAGTAAACAAACATAAGAACAGTAGTGTTTAGTTATTAACATGATGGAGAATGAATACTGAAATGGGAATCGAGAAATCGAGACGTCATTCTTATTGAGTTAAATTAAAAACTTGCATTGGTGTTAGAGTATATGTTTGTGTGTATATAATATTGAAATCAAGTAAGCTCTAGTCGCTCACAGAGACGAAAACATGAAAAATACTCATGCGGAATATGTATCCGAATTTATACTACTATTCAAGTAAAAAAACAAACAAGAAGTTTCTACTGAAATTTTAAAATAATTACATATTTAGCGCAATTCATGATATATACACAAATCAAAGCTGTGCCTGAAACTGAAACATCAATACCAATGAACAATAAGACAAAAACCGTGTAATAGATAAAAATAGCTAGGAATATTTAGTACTGGGAGAATTTGAAAAATCCTAAGTGCTCGATGCTAGAAACTTCTAAATTAGAATACAATGTTCAGGCATAGTGGCCGATTTGGATACAAATAAAGTTTATACACTTCCAGAGTATTTAAACTTTGGAAATGTAAGACCTGTTGCATCTACTGTAAAAGCGAGCAGAAATAAATAAAAAAACATAACGTTTAAGCTGAATGAAAGATGTAATTTTATCACAAATATAGAAATGCATGAAAATATTTAATAATATATTCAATATCAGAAAATGTTTGTTTGTTGTTAAGTACAAAGCTACACAATGGATTGTTTCCCAGGTATGAAACCCAATTTTTAGCGTTCCAAACAATCAGACTTACCACTGAGTTACTGGGGGGCATCCAAAAATGAACGCCATAAAATAGTGTTCCGATGGTTTTTTTTTTTTTGTTTAATGCCACAAACAATTTCTTGACAATTGAAAATATACGAACATTTTCAAAAATTGTGTAATATCTGATCACCATGAGAGCAATATATCTTTTGTATGCCTAAATGTTACTTTGAAATGTTAGTATATATATATATATCAGTGTAGTACATTGCAAAACTATTTAATTAGCACTGGGTAACAACACTAATAAAATATAAATAATGATAGATCATTGTGTTTTGTCAAGTTTCTAGGGTGATTTGTCTTTTTTCTTCTTCTAATGTTGACTTCGAGAAAATTTGTTCATTTTATGGAAATAAGAACATTTGAAAGCAAACGTTTCTCTATGACAATGCTTTTCATGAATCCACCCTCAGTGATTAATCCAGTTTTTCCAAGAACTTCATTAAAGGGTGTATAAAGTTTGTGGTCATATTTCCATCACGTCCACGACAAGGGGCTTCACACTGTATTTTCCCCAGTTGTGATAAAAAGTGGGAAGATTAAAGCTTAATTTCATGTAACATTTCAGTTGCTCAGTTTCTACTAATCGACTCAGACCTTGCAGTTTTTCCTACTTAGTAAGACGAAATCGGTTCGGCCTTGTTCATTTTCTAAGGTATATTGCTTGACGTATCTCAGAAGGGTGGTATCTTCTGAGCAAATAAAAAAACAACAACAAAAAACTGTTGGTTTTGCAAATAATTTATTAATTTTTATCCTGTTGAATAAAGATCACGTTCTGCTTCATAAACTATTTAGGATTGTAATTCAAGGTACATGTTGGTAGTTAAAAATAAATGTAAAACTTTGTTTCTTATCGGTCAGGATTTATAAGAAGTCGTGATTCTATACATATATCAGATTATACACCTGTACCTAACGCATCACGAAGTTTTCCCAGCCCTTTCCGTCTTTTGATGATACGCCGTAATTTTGTATAATATTGCGTAATGAAATCACAGAACAGTAATAAATAAATCTAAGTCTGTGGTAGACTTCTGTGAATTGGTTTTGTACCAATCATATAACGTGGCATGGTGA